GGGGCCAGGCAGGGCAGAGCCCTGGTTCTGCAGCCCCGTACAGTCACACCCCTGTGTTCCTGGGGTTTCCATGAAGACCAGCCAGAAGCCGGGAAACGGAGTCTGCTGTGGGCCCAACGCAGCCCATGGGTCAGACTTTTCCCACCCCTGGTCCCTGCTCATAAGTATTGCCTTTTCTGGGGGAGTGTCTGGGAAACACTTCATGTGACAAGCTGGTAAAGCCCTTCCTATTACATTGCCTCATTATGTTTCATGTCTTCACCTTTAAGAGGTAAAGGATTTATTTCTGTTTTACAGGTGGGGAAAATAAGGGACAGAGCTACTAAGTTACTCCCCCAACCCCAAGGTCATTAAAGTATTAGGAGCCAGAGTAAAATCCAAGAGCTCTGGAGTCCCGGCCATGTGTAAAGTCTGCACATCCAACAAAAGAAAGAGGTGCTTGTTGGATGTGCATGGGACATGATGGCAGAGTAGGGAAGGTCTCTCACCGAGTCTCACTCCAGGTTCATGCCTGTATGGTTGACACATCTGTCAATGGGTATTCTATCTGGAGTACAGAGACAAAGGCAGTCAGATATCATGCTAACCAAGTGGCTCCCTGGTGTCCTGTTGGCTAGGGATGCTGGTGTGCCTTTACCACACTAGTCCAGTGGGCTGCCAGACTTGGGTGGACCTTCTATGGCATGCACTAGCTTGATCTATCGGTCATGGGTAAAAATACTCCTAAAAATGAAGCAGCACTGGTCTTAGCAAGTGCTGGCAACCTATATATACATACGCAGGCCCTGAACTCTAGTTGCTAGCATGCTCTAAAGCCCATGCAGTCGTGTCTTCGCTGCCAGCTCCATTAAAGTAGCCTAGAAACTCATTCTCAAGTTAGATTAACAGGTGCCCCGCTTCATGAACTCAACCCAGCCATTTAATTGATGCCAGTGGTGTTTATAAGGCCAACTGAAGTAGCAAAGTGATCTTGAGTATAAGAAACAGGAGAGGGCAGTGCTATGAGGTGTGCTGCATTGAGGACATCAAGAGTAGCCAGTGTTCAGGAATGATCAAGGCTTAGCTTTCTTTAAGCCCAGAGGCCCAAGGTAAAACTGTCTGGGTATAGAAGTGTCAGCTGCCCATCGTCCTTTAGTCTAGTCTCAGAGCTCACAGCCTTAGATTTTACCACCATCATCTGGTGTCACATCCACCATGCTGAGTCCTCTGCATGAAAAGCACATAGAGCAGCCACACTGACATCTGCTATTGTAAATACAAGCTCTGTATTGTTGGATAATCTCTTAACAACAGAATAAGTGATAATGGAAGGGTAATTAGCAATGTCCAGTCAATCATTACAGTCAGGAGAAGAAACTCTTGTCTGATAACTTGATGGTAAATTAAATAACCTTTATTGCCCTCAGGGCAATTCCTCTGCTTTGGCAAATCCAGAAAACACTGAATCTTGGTGCCAGAGGGAGAAGCTGGAGTGGGAGTCCGAGAGCCTGAAGTTCTTTTTTCCCCTATGGATCAGGTCTGACGTTGGTGCAGCCAACACTGCTCTGCCATACTGGTGTGCCTTAGCCTTGATTTGGAGGAAACATCTCTGAAGATAAGATATGGCTGAGGTGTACCTCAGACTTTGTGCTGAGGCAGCTCACACCATGCGGGGGTTTGACTTTTTATGGAGGTACCTACCCACTACAAAATAGACCCAGATTCACCATACTAATTTCATACTGTGCACTAAACACACAGCTGCTGGGTGGTAAAAAGCCAATCTCACCCCTAGCCTCCCCTCAAGTAAAGCTGGTGAGAGGGGCCATAACCATGTTTAAAGCAGTGTGCGGACCCACTATACTTTCAAACCATTTCAGTTTGCCTGTGTGCACAGAAGAAAAAAAAAAATTATACTTATGCTAAGGAACTGTATTTAAGGCGAGACACTGATAAGGGAAAAAAAAACCCTGAGCTCTTTGACATGTTTTTTTGTTTTGTTTGGAGGGGTTTTAAATCCACCCAGGTAAAAACAAATTGTATTAGGAGACAGTCATGGATAAATATGGCCGGGGCCAGGCTGTTTGTATGGTGGATACAGGGATTGTTATGAGAGGTTTCATACCCATTACCAAGACCCTAAGCCACCAAGCCACTGAATGGCATCAAGCAGGAGACAACAGCTCCCTTTGATACATTTTCTATTTTCTCTCCAATTATTTCCATGAATGGTTTGTTTTTATTTTGTCCCGTCAGTTCCTGCTTGCAGACCCTTTTGTCATCTAATTATTCTAAAAGCTGTGGCACCTTAATGTGCTACCATGGAGACAACTGATAGGACACAGCATGGTCACAAGTACTCCTAGGGTACAGATCATCAGAAAATGATGGAAAACAGAAATCAGCTCATTACCCTCCATCAGGCAACTACACTCTCCAGTTCTCAACTGAAAACAGTGGAGTTACACCAAGGATGACTGTGTCCCCTAATGCTTGCAAAAATCTGAAAGAAAGGTATTACATTCCCCAATACGCTGAGCGTCCCTTAGAAGAGCCCTTTCCTGGCTCAGTGGTCATGCATTATAAATTACGCCATTGCAGCAGTGCCTTCAGACAAGACTTGATAGATTTGACCGTCAGCTGTTAGGGGCCATGGAAGCAGACAACCCAATAGGTTAACTAGGGTTTTATTCAGCAGTGGTTCTGGTGATCTTATTCCCTTCTCAATTAGCTTTATCAGAGTATTAAGTTTTTGGGGGCAGGGATCCTTGATTGTGTTTTTACAGCCTCCTAACACAATAGATTCCAGGTCAATGATTCTGGCTCTAAGGTACGACAGGGATAAAGTTAGCAGTATTAGTGTAAGAGCCAACGGGG